GACTAGAAATAGAGTGTATGAGTGTTTATTGTTTTATGATGGCCTAGCAGTATAATACACATTGTCTTCACTATGATTATGTATCTAGGATTTATTAGTTTTATGGCATTGCTATTGCTTGAATTTGCTTGATAAGGTTGTTTAATGATAATTCTTTGAGATAAAAACATGTAGTATGAGGAGGTCTATGGTTAATTATTGCCAGTACCAGTATGTCAAGATTCTGATTTCTACTAGTAGATATCACTATCATTACATATTATAAAACAAAGTCCCTATGTATGCTTAGATCTTTTAAACTACGCAATTGATTTTGTACCTGTGTGAAGCAGGGGCAGGTCGCTAGTATGTTTTTAAGACAACCATTACTGACTGAGCTATCAATAAAACACAGCTCAAAACATTGAACGGATTGCGCTGTTTGTCACGCAGACAGTTATTTTGACGTCGAATCCGCTAAGAAAGGATTTTCCAAAATTCAAACGGTGAAAAGATTAGTTTACTAAAGTAGACAAAACGCTCTTGTTTTGGAGCAATGCTCTGTGATTGAGGATTCCGGATGAAGCTCGCTTCCACCGGCCATGATCATCACTTTCTATCAGGTGAGATGCAGGTCAAGAGCTTCCTCGTTGTGGATAAAAAAACAAAATAAATCGTCTTAGTCCCAAAATCCTTAATTCTTTGCATCTTTCGTATGTAAAAGTCTTCTTAGTCCTAAAAATCGTTGAGATCTTTCGTATAATATTTAAATATTGGCTTCCAAATCATTTGGCAGACTTCCATGACTTTAAACGCTTGCGCATCTCATCGACAGCTGTATGAAAACAAGATAAGATCGATGGATCCTTCATCTGAGTGTTGCACTTGGTTTAACAAGGATCTTATTTTATCTTCTGGATTTATTATTATTAAGCCGGTAGTAAGATATGTTATCGGAGGATCTGCGTATTTGACTGCGAATTGCGTTTCATTGACAGGTTATAAAACCAGTCAAGTATTAACAAAAAAACTGGCTGGATCTTCATTTTATGTGGGTTTTATTGGAGGTCAAGTCAAGCTAAATTTTGTTAACAGAGTACATAATAACAAAAGATGTAAGTAAATGCTATTTGGATGGTAAATTGGTAGTGATAGGGTTGAAGTAAAAGTAAAACTAGGACGTGTAACAGGGCTCTTTTAAATCTTTTTTTGCCAAAAATAAATGACTATGGAAAAAAAACTAAATACATGGCAACTTAAAAAAAGTCTAGTAAAAATAATCAACTACGTCTTCTACGTTCTACCAGTATGCAAATGGATACCTTTCTGCATTATGTGTTTATGACATAGTAGATAGATACATACATTTTTGTTAGAAAATCACCCGTATTACAACTAAATAAGATGCCACAGTAGCTTGAAGTGCTCTCGTCTACATACGCAGCAAATCTTGGCAAGATCATTACCTGAGTCGTCCCTACAAAGTATACTTAGCATTAGCATTCCAGGCATCGTGATGGCACGTCTAGAATGCCTCTTATTTGCTTTCCGATTGCCGCATGATGCGCGTGCGCAGCCAATTTCACTAGACCTCCGTCAGTGAAGTTAGTTTATAGTTTTCTCAGCTAGGTCTTTTTATAAGATCTTAACTACCTCTGTGGTCTAGTGGTACGACTACCTGACTTAGACCCAGAGGTCCCGGCAACATTTTCTTAGTCCGCCTGGCTAGTAACCTTCTCTTACCTAAGTCGGACGCCATAAACCACAATGCTGTTAATATTCTTCACCTTCCTTCCACCTTCGGCCTTCACCACCACTTTCCATTATGTGAGATGCAGGTTAAAAATATACTATTTTTTTATCAAAAGGTTTATTTACACCAATTATATTATTGGAATAGTAATCTATTGTCACCTTCAGACCCTTATTTAGTGGGTAGGCTTAGCCCTTCTGGCAGGAAAAACCCCGTATAACCCTTTAGCTGCCCTCGCAGTTAGTAAGTATCCATTTTCACGCATTTTCCTGGCATGAAAAACAATTTTTTATCTGTGTAATATAATATGTCACACTGTTGTATCTTTATATATTATTTAGCGGCTAATCCATTTTTGTGATGAAAAAATTTTCAATTTTAAACCATAGGGCATAGGTCCCACATGCTGGTCAGCCATAACGGCTAAATGACGTGGCATTCTAAGTATTTTAATGATCCATCTCTACGGTTAATTAAGACGTATTGCACAAGCAAATGTCCTTATCTAACGGATGCGTTTAGAGGGGGACAGAAGATAGTGCTAGGTTTCAGTCTGGCTAAGTTTACTTTAGTGGTATTTAGGTTCTTAACCCTTTAACAGTCATAATATAATCAAATTTTTCATTGTTTTTGGACCTAAAGACAAGCGAATAAGGTACAAAATATGGTGGGAACTATATTCTCACCTCCTTTTAAATGTATTTTGCTATGCCATATTCTTTTTGTATTGGCATACGTGTTATTAAATGACATACTATACATACCTACATAGTAATATACATATTGATCAAAATCAAAAAATCAAAAATCAAAAATATTTATTCAGTTTAGACCACAAGTGGCACTTATGAACGTCAATAGAAAATAATAAAAAAAGAAAAAGGTAGCCCTTATGGGGCACTTTACATGTCTCCTTATCTTTTGGGCCCTACCAGCGCTTCGAGACAAACATATGGCAAGTGCTGAGAAGAAACGCCGGAACAAACTCAGTCACCACTTATTGCCAGGAATTATCTAACGGTAAGAATAGTCAAATTTAAGTACATCAAATATGTGCAGACTGAACTGACCACGCATCCTTGTCATCAATATAGTCTCGAACCTTGTAGTACCCTTTGGACATAAGGGTATTTTTTATATGTATCTTAAATTTGTTTATTGGCAATTCGACAAGGTTGTGTGGTATTTTGTTAAATATGGTAATACATTTCCCCAAGAATGAATTACCTATCTTATGCAACCTAAATGATGGAACAGCAAGTTTATTCTTATGTCTCGTGTTAAATGAGTGGACGTCACTTTTCTTAGTAAATAAATGTATATGTTTACGGACATACATAATGTTATCAAATATGTATTGCGAAGCCACAGTCAATATATTGATTTCTTTAAAAACTTCTCTAAGCGAGTCACGTGGTTTAAGACCGTATATTGCCCGAACAGCTCTTTTCTGTAAAATGAAAATTGATTCTATGTCTGCTGCTGAGCCCCACAGTAAAAGACCATAAGACATAATACTATGAAAATAACTAAAATATACAAGCCTTGCTGTTTCAACATCAGTCAAGTTTCTGATCTTTCTCACCGCAAAGGCAGCTGAACTAAGTCTTCCCGCCAAGGCAGCAATATGGGGGCCCCATTGTAATTTACAGTCTAGGGTAATACCTAGAAAGACAGTAGAGTTTATCAGTTCAATGCGTTCATTATTTACTGTAATATTAGTATTAACTTGTTTGACATTAGGCATAGTGAATTTTAAACATTTGGTTTTTTTTGCGTTTAATAGCAAATTATTAGTTGTAAACCAGTCTAATACTTTGGAAAGAGCATTATTCACGTCGTCAAATATTTCCTGACGCCTGTCAGTTTTAACAATTAAAGAAGTGTCATCAGCAAATAATACTATCTCACAAAGGTCCTTTGAATAAAAAGGTAGATCATTTATATAAATCAGAAAGAGCAATGGTCCCAATATTGAGCCTTGGGGCACTCCCATTTTTAGGGGGGCGCCCGAAGAGTTAGTTCCGTGAACATTTTGATCAAAATGGTACATAATCTCCCACCTTGTAATAATAAACCCCTCTTAAGTAAAGCTATTTTATGACGTATTCTTTCCTATACAGAGTGATTTTTTTATACTTGAGCAAAGAAAGTGTTGATTTTACTGCTCAAATGCAACTACATTCATATCATCAGCAATCAGCTGATAGTTTGTATAGGCACGTTTTTTTTTCATATTTGAATGTCAGCCTTCTTAACATTGATTCCTTTAACTTCATTCATTGAGTAAAACAATTGAAATACGCATGTTTTGATTTGCACTACGCACTTCCGACTGCAGCCATTATTTGGCAAGGTGTACAGTTTGAAATTAGAACGATATTAATACCCTAGATCTGAATGGCATCGATCAAGATTCAAGTTCGTTCACCTGTACGACTCCTAACATTGGCCGGGTATTCAGTATTTTTGAAGTGATTTGAATATTTAAGTTTGGAATGTGCCAATTTTTTTTATTGTTTGAAAAGATGGCAATAGAGGAGGTTTTATAACGTGTCATTCTACGCAGGTGTTAGTTCGATTAGAAATTATAGTTAGGTTTGGGAAATTGCCCATAAGTACATATGTTGTTTATTATGTAATCTCTAAGTTCATCAAAATTGGTTCAGCTATACAAAAACTCGTAAAAAACAAACAAACGGGCTGAGTTACTTTTGCATTTTTTACAATATTTTCTCTCTACTACCATTTATTTATACTAGAAAACTCAATCTCTACTAGCACCGGCGTTTCAAAGGAAGCAGATAGTATTTATTTTTTTAACATTAAGTACAATTAATTTTATTAACTTACATTTTATTGGTGTACATTTACGAACTAATATTTTCTTTACTGTTTTACAGGTAAGTGAACTGGTTAGCTAATAGTAACTAATAACAATATTTTGCCAAGTGTTAGTTTTTTTTATTATAAAATTACTTACTGTATTTTTTTGTTTACTATTGCAATTTGTTGTTATTTTGATCCAAATAATATCTTAGTATTTACTTAAAAAAACAATTTAACGATACAAATTGGAGTGTTAGGGAAAAAGTAAAGTTTAAATAAAATAATATAATATTTTTTGTATGTTGTATTGGTATTTCCAGTACCAAAACAACTTTTTTCAATCCAATAAAAATCCAGTTTTTTTCTCTTGAACTGATACGTTTATTTTGTTTGTATTGTGTATTATTTCAAAACAATAACTTTAATTGTTTTTTTTCAGACGAACGTGATGCAATACAGAAGAAGACGTTCACCAAGTGGGTCAACAAACACTTGAAAAAGGTAATTAATGTGTTTAATTAATAAATTTATTAACAAAAGTTGCGCTGTCACAATGAAAACATAAAGTTTTATCGCCAATTTAAAGCCAATGACCAATTAAGGAAGTGGACGGCCAATGTTTGGGCAAAGGATTGGGGCCAATGATGCGTTTCTTTTTTTCTTTTCTTTGTTATAACTTTTTTCTTATACCGGCCAGTTTCCACAAAAGTGAAGCGGAGAAGAGAAATGTTTTGATTAAACAATCAAATTCAATTTGAATAAAATCTGATTGGTTATTTATAACATTTCTCTTCTTCTCTCTCCGCTCCACCTTAGTGGAAACCGAGACTTTTGCCTGGTTTCCTTCCAACAAAGCGGAGAGGAGATGTGTTTGAATTACCAATCAGATTTCTGAACTGAATCTGAGCGGAGAGTTGAGGAAATAACGAATTCTGATTGCTTATTCAAACACAAATCTCTTCTCCGTTTGGTGGAAATCAGGTCTTATTCTCACTAATAAAATGAGTAACACAGCTAAAAACAGAATAGATGCTTTTACCCGACTACCCATGCCAAAAAGAGGGTTATGTTTTTAACTGTTTCTTGGTAACTACCTTGCCCCACAAATATATTGGTTTCAACCTCGTTTCCATATAATTATAAACCCTTGCTAATTTTGGACATTTCGCCGAACTCTTTTGGCATGATCCGATAATAAGCTGTTAATTACATTAATTATTTAATTACATTGAAGGGATTCGGAATATCAAGGCCGTTTAAAGGTGGACTGGTGTTAAAAATAGTATTTAAGTCCAGACAATAAGGTTTGAAATTGAGTGCATTCTTCTGATGACTGCACGCAGTTCAGGTCAAGGTGAATGATTCTGGAAATTTCTCGGCACAATCATTGATAATATTTGCATCTCCTTTTAATTTTAGATTTATCACTTACTGTTTATTAAAGCACATTTATTAACCTAATTGAGACTCATTAATGGTTTTGTTGAATTTGTATTGTTGATTTAATGTTTTAAACTGGACATGATATTTATTTATTACTCCGATGTAAATTCTTGCATAGTTATGTGTATTTTTTTCATGACAATTATTATTACAAGACACTCGTATCCTCTATTATCATAAAAATATAGTTTTTCCTGTCTAAAGCACATAAAGCACACAATCACAAAATTGGCTCAAACAAAACGATATAAAAATAATTTCATCACCAATTTGTAAAGGAAATAATAATATTTGATATTTGATTACTTATAACAATATAAGGTCCAGGCCAGGATCAATAATAAAAACATAACCCCTTTTGGCGCAGTCGGGTAATTATAAAAACAAACGAAGCACGACTGGCGCTGGATCGTGCGCGTGCGCCGGCGCATAGTGATCGAGCGAATAAATTAATAAAATCACACTCGTGTGTCACCAGCAGCGAATGACAGGCGATGACAAGTTTAGTGAATTGATTTAGTTGCATTTTGCACTGAACTTTACGTGTTGCAGATGCTTTTTGATTACGAGAAGAATCATTATTTTTCTATAATAAATAATAATAATAATAAATATCTTTGGACATTTTACACTGCGCCTCTAATCTTAAACTAAGCAAAGCTTGTACTATGGGTACTAGACAACGGATATAAACATACTTAAATACTTTTTTTTTGTAAATACATACATTATCCAGAATAACGCAGGTATATGACCCCAATTGGAACTCATAATAAGTGAGATGCAGTCTAGGATGGTACATAATTAATTACCTGCCCTGTAAGTGTCTATACTCTCGCCTTGAAAAGGCCCGGTATAGTGTTCGGTAAAGACAGCTGCAGAATATTGTACAGACTGAAAACGTCTTCATCCTCAGTATTGTCGACAGCTCATCTATATCTATAAAAGCTTACTCACTCACTCATCACGAAATCTCAGAAACTACAAGTGCTAGGAGTCTCAAATTTTGTCTTTCAGAACGTAGGTGCTCACTAAGACGGGATTTTTCAAAATTCAATCTTTAAAGGGGTAAAAAGGGATACACGCGTACGAAGTCGCGAGCCGCCGCTAGTCAAACCATACTTCTTTATGATACCGTAGTGTTACTTGATGTACCACCATCTACAATTCTAAAATTCGTGAGTCGGTTCATAACACACTGATGTTTTATAAGGCTCCATTATCCATATTCACGTACGATTTGACTCGCTAATTTCTAAAACTCCCAACTTCGAAATTCCCAAAGGAATAGCCTTCTTTCCATGCTACGGGACTATTCCCACCTCTCGTTCCCACCACTGCAACTCCTGTGTAGCCAGGATCTACAGCTTGACCGCCATAAAAACCCAACCACTGGAGGCCAAGTTTGTCCCGGGGGAAAGTTAAACTGTCATTGGACCCGCAACGAACGAATTTAATCAGAAGAACATAGGAGGAGTTCGAAATTAAGGTTCGACTTCCCTCCATTGCAAAGCGGATGACAGGTGACAATCTTCGTGACTTCTCCCCATGCTCTCTCAGACGTTATTCTCAGACGCAATCTGAGTTATCAATGTTCTTGTATCTTTCTTAGTCATGACATGTTCATGTTATCAATAAATCTTGTTTTCGTCATTTCAGTTTGGGTTTTCGCACTTTTAATTTCTTCTAAAACATTTCCGTAAACAATTTTGAATTCGTTCTTTGTAATGCCTCCAGAGTTTTCGTAAACATTTCACCTCTTAATCCAGATGTACCTTCAGATATTTCTGCACCAGACAAAGGATCCTCCAGGCTGTCTCGTCTCATTTACAAAGCAGTATTTACACATACCGGCCATATCCTTTGGTGCTTGTTTACTTTACACACCATTTGAAACGTTTACGTTATGAAAGGAAGGTTTCATGTTAAAACAATATGGACATTCTTGATGACTTACGTATTTGATTTAAATTGCACTGGTGTTATTATAACGGTTATTACACCTTTGTTTTGTCACCTGTCATCCGCTTTGCACTTGGAGGGTAATCGAACCCTAACTAGGAACTCTCCCATGTTCTTCTGATTAATTTCATTGCGGGTCAAAGACCTGAGTTGGTTTCTCCTTCAATTTTGTATTACTATTGTCCCTTTCGACAATTTTTATTACTTTAACTTGTTGTTTTTTTGTCAATAAAGTCTTTTACCTTTCTATCTTCATCTATTTTTACATGATTTCCAATAGCATGTGCATTTGCAAGGCCTTCAGGTCATAAATAAAAAGGCATCATCGGTACAAGTTGCTCTATCATACTTCGCATAAATGTAGTATTAATAAATAATAATAATAAATAAATAATAATAAGAATCGTTAAAAAGTTGCAGTTTCGTTGCAGTTGCGTTTCACTGTCTGTTCTGGACCTTAGTATTCTCATGTAATAAACTATTATATTGCTACTAAAATATTTTCTTTCATGCGTGGAAGCATAATAACAACGCATTGTACAAAATAATAAAATAATGAGTTCCTTGAGAACGGCATCATCAAAGTTTTTGTTCGGTTCAACGAAGTGGAAGAAAGTAGGCTTTATTCATAAAAATATACGATTATTTCACAGTTCCGTATATGTATAGGCGATTTCGTAAAAATATGTCCACTGGTGTTTTGGCTTGTGTGTTCTCATATAATACCTTATGCCTGTATGTAAATCGAACGCACAGCGTTGAATAGAGAGATCTGTGGTTGGTTCGTGTGTCACCCTGTGCGTCCACGCGCACTGTATCATAGAATGTACAAGAGTATATTCTTCTAAGCCAGATAAGTCTTTATGCACCGCCATAATATGCGATCTGATTTGTTAAGATTTTATTACCTTTTAAATAAGGAGTATAGTTTAAATTTTAATTACGAAAATAAGGTGAGAGTGAACGATACATTCTTTACTACTTTGAGAAGAAAACTTGTTAACCTTAACTGCGGATCTCTACATTTCTCATTGCCAAAAACAGAGCCCGGTTGTTAGAACCGAATCAATGATCACTCATTACTGGACCACTTTTACTTTTATTCCGATCTTTATTTACATCGGCATAAGATGTATCGATAAAAGAGATGTATCGATAACAGTATCCTTTTTGCACATGTCCGTAACACTTTCTCGAGAATAGGGGGTCTGTGAGTTGAGTCTTCATTTGTTTAATGACGTCATCTGGAAGTAAATGATGTGGGTTGAACTCAATGTTGTGTGAGAAGGCTATAAAGGCTTCTTGTGTGCACAATTTTGCATTCATGCAACAGAAATTAGGTCATCTGACAGATAACACAGTACATACAATCAAACAGAGAAATGATATGAGTTCTATGTCATCATCAGGTCATTTATAAACTATTCCCACCTCTCGTTCCCACCAGTGCAACTCCTGTGTAGCCAGGATCTACAACTTGACCGCCATAAAAACCCAACCAATGAAGGTCAAGATTGTCCCGGGGGGAAGTTAAACTGCCATTGGACCCGCAACGAAATTAATCAGAAGAACATAGGAGGAGTTAGAAATTAAGGTTCGACCTCTTTCCATTGCAAAGCGGATGACAGGGGACAAAAAAAGGTTTTAATAACCTTTATGAAAAGATATGCACCACGGACAATAAATATCAATTAAGGGGGCCTATTTTATGAGCTATCATCAGGTCAATTAGTCTCCACTGTCGAAGCAAAACCCTCTTCTATTTTCTTCTTATTTTCCGTAGCCCTTTTTCCCATTACTTGGGATCGGCTCTCCTTGTTCTGTTCTAGGACAGTCTGTCCTGGGTTGTCGAAATATTTGTCTGGACACGCTCAAAGTCCTTAGCCACTGGGCCAGGAGGCCAGTGGGCGTCCTCTACCTTTCTTATAAAAAATTCTACAAAAGGACAGTGCCAATCCATGTATGGAAGTTGGACCAAGCGCTGCCCAGAATGAAACCATAGTGCATTTTGTTCCTCAGGCCAATACTAATTTGTAAACCGGAGCGCACTGAAATCTATCCCTGGAGTTATGAGAAAAAAAAAGTTTTGTTTTGAATTATTTACATACAAAATATCATCGATGT